CCCCATGCTTGATGTAGTCAGCGCATTCTACAGCATTCCACGCGAGCTTGCCCACTCACTTCCCTCTAGCCCCGAGGGGCGCAAGGACCTCATTGCTCACGTAAAGATGCCAGAGTGGCTGGCCCCTGCGCTGGAGGTTGCACTGGAGCCCCCCCCCTCTCCGCGCTGGAAGGAAAGGTGCCATTGCAACTGTCCGCGCAGCTGGCGGAGCCACAGAGGGCAGCGTAGCTCACGGTAGGGGATCCCTCAAGAGGTGGCGCCGGCGAGAAAGGGGCCCAGACCAGGGAGCGCACTGGCGGCCCTCCTTTGCAACATAATGTTTGGGGGGGTCTTGGGGCGCGTCAGGACTTGGCTTGGGGGGGGGGGGGGGGGGGGGGCGGGGCTTCTGCTTGAGTTGGACGAAAGGTCGCAGGCAGCTGCGTTCCTTCCAGTGCACGCGGACAGCGGGGTGCTGGTGGACAGCGCACTGCGGCGACGCTGCCTTCCCACGCGTCGCAATATCTAACCAAGACCTCGCAGATGACGTTCGCACGTCGGCGATGATAATCGTAGAGGGGGCGGCCAAAGCAGGGCTGCGCTACATTTCTGCAAATGCTAAGCAAAGGCCCTGGTGGATATAAGCGGCGGCCACGAGCGTTACACGGAGAGGGGTATGTGCATTGAATCGGGGGGGGGGAGTCTGGCCCCCTCGCCTGGGGCAGCACGTTGCCCTGGCTTGCGCGGAGAAGGCCCTGGGATCCAAGATTTCCGCGAACCTGGGCCTGGGCCCTGAGCTGGCTCATCGTCGGGCCCAGGCGATGGTCCCTCTGCGGCCCTTCTTCAAGGCGGTCTTTCGGGCGCCCGGGATCCCCCTTCGGCCGCGCATCATGTTTGCGGACTCGCTGCTGGTTTCGAGGCCCCTCTTTAGCTGCGAGGTGTGGCCAGAACTCAAGGCGAAGGCCTGGTCGATCGCCTCATTTTGCAACGCAGATATCTTTAGAAAGGCGCAGGTGGTCGAATTTCCTTCGGGCACTAGAGAGCTAGTCAGTCCGCCAGCTGAGGCTGTGCATCCAGGGGCTGGCAAGGCCCCCCTCGAGGCCCTGCTCTGGCACAGGCGGCTCGCGTGCGTCCCCGGCCTGCTCGAGCACGCGCCAGAGCAACTGTTATGGCTGCCAGATATGCAGGTCGACCAGGCGGGATTGCGGAATTCTCCGCCGCAGAAGGATGTGATTGAGCTGCGCGGGCTTGCCCCTCCTCCATGGGGCCGGAGGCTTCCCGAGTACTTTGGGGGCGTCTCGGGCCTTGCTAGGTCGGCGCCGGGCGAGTTCAAGTCATTAGTACGAGCGGCGTGGAATCCCGAGGGGCTCGGGCGCGAGGGCGGTCAGCGCAGAGCGGTCTTGAGGAGGGGGCCGGGCGCCGCGGCGGGCCCGGCGGCGCTCTCGCCGCCTTTTGCCCCGAGGATGGTCGAGCAGATTGGAGGTCTGTCGCGCTATGCGTGCGGGCGGCTTTGCGGGGGCATGCAGGCTCTCAAGAGGCGCCTGCGCAAGGCCCGCCCTGAGCGGGGCCGCCCCCAACGGTGCGCGCTCAGTTCGTTGGGCTGAGAGCGGTCAGGCTCTTGCGGCACGGCAGCGCCACATACTTGAGGGCCCCTGCGGAGTTCTTTGAACCTCTCGCAGTGGAGCAGGCGATCTCAGCCAAGGAGCAGGATACTGAGGTGAGTTAGTCCCTCGGAGAGGCAGGGTTCTATGGGGGGTTCCTGCTCCCAGAGTCCAGGTCCCCAGGATCCCCGGGAAGGCGAAGGCTTGCGAGGGGGGCCCCGCCCTGGAGCGCGTCGTGGAGTCAGACCCACTGGGTGCTGCTGGGGCGGGGGCCGTTGCCCAGCTCTGGAGGAGGGGGGGGGGGGGGGGGGGGGGGGCTGGAACCAGGAGGCCGCTGCGGTGGGCCGCCAGGGCGCGGCGGTTTCTAGCGGCGACCCGCTGGCCCCAGGCAACCCAGAGCCTCCTCGGTGCGGCGGCGGGTGGGAGCCCCCTCGAGGAGGCTATATCGGCGAGAGAGGCGACCGTTGGCTCCGCCGCGCCTGCGAGGCGAGGAGGTGGGTGGCGTGGTGAATGGCCCCCCCCCCCCCCCCCCCCCCCCCCCCCCCCCCCCTCAGGCTCTTGCGGCACGGCAGCGCCACATACTTGAGGGCCCCTGCGGAGTTCTTTGAACCTCTCGCAGTGGAGCAGGCGATCTCAGCCAAGGAGCAGGATACTGAGGTGAGTTAGTCCCTCGGAGAGGCAGGGTTCTATGGGGGGTTCCTGCTCCCAGAGTCCAGGTCCCCAGGATCCCCGGGAAGGCGAAGGCTTGCGAGGGGGGCCCCGCCCTGGAGCGCGTCGTGGAGTCAGACCCACTGGGTGCTGCTGGGGCGGGGGCCGTTGCCCAGCTCTGGAGGAGGGGGGGGGGGGGGGGGGGGGGGGCTGGGAACCAGGAGGCCGCTGCGGTGGGCCGCCAGGGCGCGGCGGTTTCTAGCGGCGACCCGCTG